CAAGTAAGTTCCTTAGTAAAGTCTTCTTTCCTGTTTTTGAAGATGGGGTTTCTGTCTGTATAGCCCTGGCTGTCCTGGAACTCACAGAGATCCACCTGCCTCTCCTGGGATTAAAGGGGTTCCTCTGTGTTGATGGTCCCGGCTGTCTTGACACTCATTTGGTAGAACAGGCTTGCCTGAAATCACTGCACGTGTCTGCCTCCCATGTGCTGGGGTTACAGGACAGGCGTGTGATCCCAGGTGCTGAGACTGATCCAGTCCTAACATGAAACAGCTCACACAAAGATGGTGTGCGCCACCACTGCCCTGCCATCAGTAAATTCTTTATGGCATCGGTTTTACTACAAGTTTTCCCCCCTGCATCACTGTCACTTGAATGTTGCCTGCTCCGCAGAGGCTGGCCCCAGCAGAGGCTGGCCCCAGCTTGGCTGCATTGAGAAGTAGTTGAACCTTTTAGAGGAGGGTCCTAGTGGGAATTCCTCAGGTCACAGGAGGGACAGCCCTGAAGGGAACTGTGGGGCCTCAGCTTGTTTTTACATCGGGTGAACAGATAGATGAGCCTCGCTCTATGGCAGAGTAATGGAGCTGACCCCGGACTGCAACTTTCAAAGCACCCTTTCTCCTTTGTAAGTTCATTATCTTCCACACTTGTTCAAGTGACAAGTGTCAAGTAAATGGGCTGGAGTGAATCAGAGTGGGGATAACCCACCCACATACGTGTGCATGTGATCCACATCCAGGCTTCCTATGAGTGTCTGGACCTGGTTTCAAGCGCCTGAAGTGGCCTGGAAGCTGTGTATTCTGAACCTGCTCTCTGCCCACATGGAGCTCTTCACCAGCTGAATCAGCAGCACCCCCTTCTGGCCTCAGGTGGACTTTCCTACTGTGGCTGTTGTCTCCAGACAATTGCTTCCACATGGTCTCCAAGTACCAGATGCCTGCTGAAAGTTGAGCTGCAACTATTTGCAGTGATGCAGAGACGCCCATGGGAAGAAGAGGAAGGACCAAATCCCTGACTCCCTCCCTCTCCCTGTTCTTTGCTGTGAGCAAAACCTAAGAAGCCAGTGGATGAGGAAGCTGGGCTGTGTACACCGCATTTTCTAGCTTCTGTGGCTGATGCTACAACACCTAGGGCTGTGCTGGCCTGGAGGGACAGCTCAGCCAGCATTAGGCTTTCTAGAGTGTCCAACCAGAGCCCAGAGCCCACCTTTCACTCACACCTTAGGGTTTCTCTCTATAGCCCTGGCTGTCCTGGAACTCACTCTTGTAGACCAGGCTGGCCTCAGAGATCCACCTGCCTCTGCCTCCTGAGTGCTACAATTAAAGGGTTGTGCCACCACGACCAGCCCAAGGACAGCTGTTCAAACTTCTCAGAGTAAAGCAACCAGCTCACACCCACCTCCCTCTCCTGTACCTGTACCTGCTTGGCTTTCTGAATAAACCTCCAGAAATCAAAAAGGCTTCAACAGAAGGGAAACTTTAGAGTAGGAAGTGTAGGGCAGACAGGACGGGAGGCAGGCTGGGAAAGTCACATACGGCCCCGCTGCTCTGGGTGGGCACCGTATGTCTCCACTTGGATCAGGGCACTGACCTGTCATGGTGGAAACCTGGAATTGCCACCACGACTGTACCTGGTAGAGCCCCAGAAACGCCTCTCCAACCCAGTGGGCTTCCAGAGGCTCCAGGCACCACTGTGACAGGGCAGGGCTATGGTCCCTGTCTCACCCTTGTTGGGGTCTGGGCTACAGGAACCCAGAGTGGTCTCCACTTTAGTGCAGGTGTCCAGCTGGCTATTGATTCCCTTTCCTGTTTGAGCCAGTAGAAGCCTGACTTGGTCCCTGAAGCTTTCTGAGTCATACCTCCTCTATTTTGTACTCAGGCACCCCTTCAATTCCTGTCAAGTCAGAACTTGGTGAAATAGTGACTGGAAACACTGGTTAGGATCAGGGATGGGAAGGAGACTGACAGCCAGAACACAGGTAACGGGCAGCACACACTTCAGATGCTCAGAGGCACTGGCAGCCCCGTTTCCTTGGAAACCACAACCTGCATTCAAGAAACTAGAGAGGCTGGGCTGGTCTGGCTGCTGCCTCCAGAGAACGAAGCAGAACCCAGGCTGCCCGTAGATACAAATGCTGCAATTCCACCTAGGAACTTCGAGGTGACACAAGGCTTTCCCTCCACCCTGTCCCTCCCCCAGGGTGCAGGCCAAGGCTCCCTGCCAACAGTGATTTCAGCTTTGAGGGGATGACACCATGGGGAGATGCCACAGTGGGGCGTCACCTTTGGGAGAACTTTATAAGGCTGGATGGTTGTTTTGTGCACAAAATTGTGACAGTCACCTGTCTTCTTAATTCATAGATAAACAGATGGACCGGACAGCAGACAGAGGGATAAAAACATGGGGACAGAGGGATGGTGGGAGGGCAGACAGGTGGGTGATAGGAGATACACACTAGATGTTAGGAGAGGTAGTCTTTTAGCTTGTGTCCCTCTCCTGGGGACACTAATGACTCAGGAGGGGTGAAAACAGAAGGCAAAGGCATCCAGGAGGCCCATGGACCTGGTACCCCAAGAAATGACTACACTGTGTGGGCCAGGTCTCCATAGCCCAGGCTGGCCAGGAATCCCCATGTAAGATGGCCCTATGTGGGGGCCCAGGTCTGCCATTTGGCATGAGTCAAGACAGATGTGCTGGCCACCAAGCCATGACCCTCCAACCTCTGCATATTCTACTGGTGCCCATAGTTGAGAGGCTTTCAACTTTTAAAGACATTTTGGAGTTTGGCAATCTTTGGATTCCCCCCTCCCCTTTTTCTCCTGAGACAGCCATTTCTCTGTGCAGTAGTCCTGGAACTCATTTTTAGCCCAGGCTGGCCTCAAACTCACTGAGATCTACCTGTCTCTGACTCCCAAGCGCTGGGATTGAAGGTGCCCTCAACCACCACCCAGCCACTAGACTCCCCTGAGAGTGTGGTAGATGGTGTCCATGACTTTTTGTCTCATCAGCTGAAGACCTTAAGAGAAAAACCAGTGGTCCCCAGGAAGGCCTTCAGGTCCAACCCAAGCCATAAGGTCCCCTTCTTCCCGCCCTGCTGTCTCACCACAAACTATTTGATATGAAAGAACTTGGGCTGCACTGAACATGCACCTGCCTTTCCTCCATGTGTCCCACTTCATCAGTACCGTATGGCATCTGTGTACCAGGGGTGGATACACAGTACTCAGGAAGGTGTGCACAGGCTCTGTGCAGCTTTTGAAGAGGGTTTGGGGAGGGGCCTGTTTTCTGGCTGAGGTACACACTCAGAGAGGCTGACCCAAATCTACTGGTCCATCACCTCCTGAGATCAACTGGCCGAGCCAGAAGGACAGGGCAGAACAGGTGAGCCTCCACACGAGCTGCCACCTCCAGCAGGGCATGGCATTGCCCCACACTGTGAATAAAGGTACTGCTGGGCTACGCAGTCCACTCCCACGTCCCAGGGCTGTGTGCAGGTGGCCAAGCCATGGACTGACAGGTGAGGTGACAGTCTTCTTTGAAGCTGCATCCCTATGCAGGGTCCCACAGGGCACAGGGGCTGTCAACCCCAAGGCTGCTATAGAAGAGCCTGGTGGTTCTTAAAAAACTACCCTGGCAACTCACTCCTGGGTGTCCCCCCCTCCACACACACCCCACGCCCCAGCAGTGAGGACACATGCACACTACGAACTGTGTGCATCCGAGAAGCATGACTCCCTCACAGCCCAAAGTGTCCATGGGCATAAATGAGCCACTACACCAGTCTACTTACCTCAAGAAGCTCCAGCACATGCTACAGGCATGAGCCCTGAGAACATAAGTGAAACCTGCCAGATGCAGAGATATGTACTACACGATCCCAAGCACACAACACATGCAGAGCAGGGAGCTGGCAGACGCGACACAGACCAGAGGCTGCCAGCGCAGGGAGGACTGCACGCCAAAGCACACCAGGCAGGCGTAGCTGGTGTGGGGACAGAGAGCAGGCGCCCAGTTCTGAGAATATGCTAATAACTCGTGGATGACACTGAGTGGGTGGATGGTGTGCACTGTGACTGCTCTCAAAGCCATTCACAGACAGGGGATTAAAGATGACCACTTTCACAGACACCGCTGTCCTCGGGGGTGCGTGACACTGCCTGGTCTCCATCAAGAAGGAGCCAGCGTCAACAGCAGGGGACACGGTGACTCATGTCTGGAGTCAGGCAGTTATTAGAGGGAATCTGGAGGCACAGACATGTTCACAGGTGGTGCTGGCTGCACGCCTTCCCCAGGACACAGGCCGGGGACCCAGGGCCTCACTTGATAGCAGGAACTCTACTACTGAGCACTGACTTTAGCACCAAAGAAACAACACTTCCAGAGTATCACCATAGCCAGTGAATGCCCTAAGCATGGCAGCTCTTCCCTTAGAACAGTGAGCCACAATGCTCAATAGTAACTCCAGAGCAATCTGGAACACGGGCTTAAGTCACCACAACCTGCAGGAGCAGACAGATGGCTTTGGTACTGTCCTTCCTCCCATGGCCCCTCACCTGGACCCCTGTAACCCTGGCTGCCCCAGTGGTGACCCCCTGGGAAGGGAGTAGCCCGTAGTAGCAAGTCTGAGTCTACCCTGCTATGAGGAAAGAGCCCAGTTGAGTCATGCCCAGGCCCCCAGCCACAGACACATTATAGTGTCCCAGAGAAAGGTGATGGTAACAACCAGGCCTCTCTGCCATGGCCCTGTCACCTCAGTCACAGGAACCCCTGAAAACCCTCAATAGTGCAAGTTCACACACGAGATGGGAGTACATGGCCACAACCCACAGCTGCCCGGAAGGCTTTTGCATGGGTTCTCAGATGCATGTAAACACAAAAGTAGGTAGGTAAAATACACATATCACCAAGAAAGTATCACCTACCACCCCCACACTGATGTCCATACAAAGGGCAGAGGCAGGCGCGCACTGTGAGGACCCGTAGTTTATTGTGGACAAGCCCCGCCAGAGGTGACAGTACTCACACAGGTGGAGTTATTTGGTTTGTTTTTTCTTATTTGAGGAAGGGAGGGCTCTGGACTCAAACTCTAGCTCCTCTGGCCTCTGGCTAGGATCAAGCGAGGCCTCCACTGCGCACAGGACAGGTGAAGTTTTGAGTCTTGGGAGTGAGTTTCCGGTATGCAGCAGTGGCTCTGAGGCAGGGTGTTCTTGAAGGCCAGCACTAGACAGAGCCTCCTTCACTCTGCTCCTGTCCCTCCCCTACAGGAAGCTCAGAGCCTCGGCATTCGGAGGTTACAGGCGCATGCCCCAGTACCCTGCCCCAACAACCAGGTGTCTACAAGGATGGCAGGCTTAGGCCACGCACCTCACTTCTCATTTGGCAATGGCTGTTTCCTCTTCCTCGCTGGCTGCTGGACACCAGCCCCTTTTGCTCTAGCACCAGGCTTCCTCCGCTTCCCAGGAGGCCCTCTCTGGCCAGCCTTCTCATCCCTCCTCCTGCTCCTCTTCCTCTTTATCCCCGGGCTCGGATCTGCACTTGAGGTTTCTGTCTCGTTTCTCCCTGAGGACACAGTGAGGTCTGTGAACAAGCTGCTGGGACAGCCGGGTGTGCTTCATTCACCTGATTCTTTAACTGCAATGCCAGCACCAGGGACAGCACCAGCCATGGCTATTGACCATGTTGAGTGACAGTAAGCTTCATCCTGAGTGTCAGGATACTAAGGAGGGTTGAGCTCAGGAACTGATCCAAGGGCCAGGGTTTGTGCCCCAAGGCCAGCAACCCACTGTGTCAGAGCTGAAAGACATATCCAGCCGTCGTCTGAATCCAGGCCAAGGGCAGGCAGGCTGATGGAAGACACTGCCCAGCTGGGAACAATATGGATGGGCCTCAATGTGGAGATAGCTGGGTGGAGGCAGGATGACCCTTCACAGGACAGGTGTGAGGTTAGCACACGAGACTGTCAGCTCAGGGCAGGGCCACCAACAACGTACAGTGGGATCCCTTAGCCTGTAGGGCTTCCGACTGAAAAAGGGAAGACTACCAGGGTCCCCAGGCAGTCGCACGGCAGGCATTGCAGGACTTGTGTGTGAAGGGAAGCCGTAAGCAAAGGCAGGACCACAGCACGGGAGAGGGAGTGGGTGGGGCAGTCCATGCTAATCACCGCCCAGGGTCCTACCTTTCTTATTCTGTGACTGCAATGTGGGCAAACGTTTCTTTTTCTTCTTCTTCCGCTCCCGCCTCCCTTCCAGCAGCTTCTTGTAGGCCTTTTCAGGGACATCATCATCAGGGAAAGTGCCTGAGGACCAGGGTGACAGTCAGGTGCTGAGTGCATGTAGCACCTCCACTCCGCTCTCACACCAGACTCGACGTGTTTGGCAATGACCAAGCTGCTGAGACCCACACTCCAGGTCCACACAATCCAGCTCAGAAGCAGGAAAATCCAGAAAGGCGATCTGTGGCACGTGTACAGTGCCATGGTCTAGTCCTCAAACAGGCTTATGCTGTGTAGTGATGACTGATGTTGTGTAGTGTGGGGGTTCCAGGGCACTGGGGAAAACATACCACACACATGCACAATACACACGCTCTCCAAATGTGAACTTCGTCTAGAAACACTGGATGTGAGTTCAAGCCCCGCATGAAGCATCAAGGCACATTCTGGTGAATGAAGAGATGCTGGCACCACAAGCAAGACCGAACAGGATAGTTAAAGGTTGCAAGACCTCCAGGGGCCAGGAAAGGCAATGAAGTCTGAGCAGCACACACAAGCACAGAGGAGCGACTAAGTGCAATTGAGTCTGTGTGTCTACCCCTTCTCCCACCAAGACACAGACCTCTGCAGAGACCACTCATGCCCAAGGGACCGCTGGAGCTGCTCCATTCCCAAGCATGTCCTAAGGGTGTGTGTGTGTGTGTGTGTGTGTGTATGTGTGTGTGTGTGTCCGTCCGTGTGTCCGTGTATCCGTGTCCCCATCCATTTCAGTGCCCCCCAGATCCTCACCTCCAGCCAGGTCCCGCAACCTGAAAGAGAAGACAGACAATGTCAACATGCAGCTGTGGCTCTGCCAGACCACATCAGTCCTGCCTACAGTCCTCATGGGGGACAATCTCAGTGAGACACCTTCCCACCTGGCTCAGGCCACTTCACAGGACAGCACAAGGCAAAGGCAGTGGGGGCAGGGCCTCGCGGTAAGGAAATGGCTGACCACCATGACAGACAGCAGCAGGAATAAGGCCAGACCTCTTGACTCACTTCTGGATGACTTTGTAGAGGCGCTTCCTGTTCTCAGAAGGGGTGCTCTGTCTGCTGGCAAGCTTGAATAGTCTGTTAGCGACTGCCTCATAGTCGAACTGTTTCAAAAAGATGCAAGAGATACAAGGGTCAGTCAGTGTCCACACACCCGAACACACAACCCACCTCCCCGGGCTGACGAGACACTTGGTCAAAGCAGCATCCTCTGCTCAGCCACCACAACAGAGCCGACCCACTCGACACTCTTCCAGCAAGGACTGCAGACAGACCACATCACCCCTGCGCCAGGGCCACACAGTCAAAAGCTGCATCATAGTTAAGAAGGCAGCCTGCTCTCCAACTTTATTTCACTTTCTTTTTGAGACAAGGTCTTACTGTGTGCCTGGCCTAGAGCCCACCTCCGCAGTGCAAGGACTAAAGTCCTCTCTAAATACCCTACTAGCCACAGTAGATAGTTAAATGCAGACCACTAAGTCTGTGCACCCTGTTCAAAGTCAGCACCCCAATGATAAGGTCAGACCTGAGGGTGCAGTCACCTGCTCAAAGCAAAAGGAATGCCATGGGGTGCAGCAGGGATGGCTCAGCCTTGCATCAACCTCTCAGCACCTACCAAGAGCTGCCCAATTGTCCATCACCCACCCTTTCCCCAAAGCCAGCCTCCGCAAAGGCTATCTGTATATCCGTTACCATCCTCTCTACCAGAGGATGAAGGTCAACCTCATGTCCCAGACATGGATGCCTACCTGGAGCACAGGGCCAGTGTTTTCCTCATCATCCCACACTTGCTCCTTGTCTACCTCAGGGTTAGCTCTATGGGAGCCTGAAAACAAAATGGAGCCTCAACTCAAGGTACCAAACCTGATGTAAGGGTGTCCCAATACCAACACCAACACACCGAGGACCCTCTTGGTCATGCCCTGGCACAGGATGGAGAGGGCACAAACAGCTGGTCTCCAGGGAGTGCAGAGATGAGGAACAGCATCCCAAGAGAGGGACACAGAGATGAGGAACGACATCCCAGGAGAGGGGTGCAAGCTCAGTAGGCACCGTGGGCAGCAATGGCAGACCCAGGTGTCCCAGCAGTAGGGGTGGCCAGGGACACTGGAACCATGCTTAGCTCAGCTCAGGACACTGAGCTGGATTGTGTGCTAAGAACTTTGACAGCACTGCCTTTGGGAAGGAACAAAGTTGAGACAGGGCCTTGTTTAGCTCTAGCTGGCCTGATACTCCCCTTAAGGTGCAACCCTTCAAGGGTTGGCCTTGAACTGGGGCAATTCTTCTGTCTCAGCCTCCCAAGTGCTGAGATTAAAGGCATGCGCTCCCACAACACACTCAGCAGTGTCTTTAGGTGAAGGACTTCTGGACAACCATGCTGGGGACACTTTGGCAAGAAGGACGACAGTTGCAGGATGGTTTGTTGTACAGGGAATGACTGCTGAGCCACAAGCAGGCACCAATGGGACTCGCCAGGAAACTTTCAGGATGACTGGACTACCAAGGCAGGGAAGACACACATGGGATGGCCATGTATCTGCTGAGCCACAAGAAGGGGGCGCCAGCGCCGACACCAAAGCTAAAAGAGGGCACCAGCAGTGCAGAGTCCATGACCACAGCATCAAGACAAAGCTGGGCTAGAGCCAGGGCTACCAGAAGCCTGGTCCAAACCCAAAGCCCTTCAGGGGCCATTTACAAGCAGAATGTACAGTGTAGTCAGACACAGACTGACTGGAAGGCAGGGGCAGGGACGGGAAAAGGGACCACAAAGGAAACGCAACTGAAGGAGGTAGAGAATCCCAGGTGAGAGCACAGAGAGGGCTTGGGCAGGACTCAAGGTTAGGACAGCTGCCTAGTGCAGGAGACCTCAAGCTCCAGCCCAACACCACCCAGATCAGAAAGAAAACCAGAGCAGATATTGCCTGGTAAACAGGGAGGTTAAGGTGCCACCCAGGACCCAGGGAGCATTATGGCCTTAGATAGCATTCCAGAACTAAGCTGGTAGCTGGGAATCAAGTGCTAAGACAGACTTAAGAGACAAACATGTATTTTATGCCATGTTCCAAGGGACTCTGGAGAGGACGGCAGGATGCAGAACAATGAGGTATGAATCCTGGGCTCAGCCTGGGACAGGCCTGGGCTCCTCACCTGCAGGCAGCCTCCTGGGTGGTGTGTCATGCAGGTCCTGCTCACCCTCTGAGGACTCCTCATCACCATCTGATGCTTCTTCCTCCTCTTCACTCTGTGTATCCAGTTCATTCATGAGGTCTTCAATGGCCAAGGGAGCCTGCTCCACAATCGTCTCAAAGATGCTCCGAATGATCTTATGCAAAACCAGGGAGCTGAGGGTGAAGCAGAGACCAGAGCCTAATGGAATGTGTGCTCTCAGATACATGCCAACTCTCAGGGCATGGAGAGCCAAAGGCCCCTGGAGCCTGAGAGGGAAAGAGGGAAAGAGGTCAGACCCCAGGAGCGCCCACCACTCACTCCTTAGTGCGGGCTGCTATCTGGCAGAAGGGATCAATGAACTGCATATTCTGGTCTGCCGTGAGCTGTGGGAAAACAAGAGAGGTGGGAGGTGTGTTCTATGCTGGGCACACGCACCACACCACACAGCCCTCACCTGAGCCCACCTTACCTCTGCAGCGCCCACTTTGGTCAGCTCCTCCAGGAAGATCTCGAGGAAGTGGCTCTTCACCCCATTGGGAGCCTGGCTGTCGGGGTGCAGTATCTCGGTGGTGAGCAACTCCAGCAGTTGCTCAATCTGTCTGAGGAAGAGAGAGAAAAAATAGTGGTAGCCATGTGGTCACAGGCCAGCAGAGTCCCTGCTCCTTCCACAAGGGTTCTGGAGGAACTACCACCTACAAGCACAACTGACCACACACACCCAAAGGCAAAGACCAATCTGGGTCTGAGCAGCACAACAGAGGCTCCCTGGCACATGTTTGTGAGGCCACAGTTAGCACCAGAACACATGGCTCTTGGCCATATGGCATGGCCTTTCCTGTCTTCAAGACACAAATTGGAATATGGTCACCTAGATGCTCAGCAGGCTACTCCTTTCGACTAGGAAAAATGTGTCAGGTCAGAACAAACCAGAGGCCAAGAGGAATATGCACCCAACAAGGCCTGGGGGCCACAAGCCATCTACTGGCTTCCCAGGCCTTGTCATAAGGCTAGTTGGTTGACCACATGAGGAATTTGTGCAGTGGCTGTCACTCTCCCTGGCATACAGGTTAGACTAGTGATTCTCAACATGTGGGTCATGACCACCTTGGGGGTTGAACCACCCTTTCACAGGTGTCACCTAAGATCACTGGAAAACACAGATTCATAAGAGCAACAAAATTAAATTTATGAACAACAAAAATAATCTTATGGTTGGGGGAGAGTCACCAAAACATGAGGAAGCGTATTAAAGGATCACAGCATTAGGAAGGGTGAGAACTACTGGGCTAGACTGTCTAAGAACCCTGGACCTGGTATGAGCAATCTTCAGCAGCCTGGGAGCACATGAAACTCCTGTAGACCCTCCATCAACCTAAAACTGCCACATGCAAAGGGCTGCCCGGATAGCTCCACTGAACAGCCACTGACCACAGGAAGGAAAAGTGATTTACCAAGCTCCAGAGGAAAGAAAGCCAATTGTTATGGAATACTACTTTAACTAGGCAAAGAAAGATGTATTACATTTGTTTATACTGAAGAATATTACTTTAACAATATAAAGATTTGCCGGGAGGTAGTGGTGCATGTCTTTAGTCCTAGCACTCAGGAGGCAGAGGCAGACGGATCTTAGAGTTCTAGTCCAGCCTGGTCTACAGACTCCAAACCACAGAGAAAATCTGTCTTGAAAAACAAAAACAAAAACAAACAAAAAAAACAAACAAAAATAAAAAAAATGTAACAATGTGTTACATCTGCTGCCTTTGTTAATGATGTAAAGATGTGTTACATTTGTTTCTGCTGCCTTTATTAACAATGTAAAGGTGTGTTACATTGTTTCTGTTGCCTTTGTTAATCATGTAAAGATGTGTTGCTATTTCATCTTGTCTGACTAAGACACCTGATTGATCTAATAAAAAGCTGAACCACAAACAGCTAGGCAGGAGAGGGATAGGCAGGTCAGGCAGGCAGAGAAAATAAGGAGGAGGAGAAATCTAGGCTCAAGAAAAGAGAACAAAGAACAAGGGAGAAAGAGAGAACACTTCAGGAGCCAGAAGCCAAGCAGCTGCCAGCCAGCCAGTCATGGGGACAACAGGAAAGTAAGATACAGGAAAAAAAGGAAGGAAAGAAAAAAGAAAAGTAAAAAGCCCCAAAGCAAAACATAAAAAAAGAGATTAAGTTATAACAGCTAGCAAGAAATGAGTTTAAGCTAAGGTTGAGCACTCATAACTAATAACAAGTGTCTGGTTATGATTTGGGAACTGGCTAGTGGCCTAAAAGAAAACCTGATACAGCTGATGACAAGAAGAATCACAAAGCCCAATGAGAGACTAAAGACAGGCAAGCTCCAGGAAACACATATCACATGTGGCAAACACCAGAGACACTTAAGCCAGGCTGTGCCACACTAAACACACAGCATGGGTTCCTGCCAGGCCAGAGAGGGAGCAGGACCCTTCAGGGTGCTCTCCAATATTGCAACAGAAATCAAAGAACATTACTAAAACAAAATGCCATAATGAGCTCTGTGTAAGTCACTAATAACCCACAACTGAGCCCTAGAAAGACGAAGAGCCACAGGTCTTGAAGGGACTAAAAAAAGGAACTGCTCTAAACCAGAGGCAAGAGGGTCCTGAAGTAGGGAAGCTCAGAAAACCACAGCAGAGCAAGTGGGCTGGGGCCAATAGCTTTAGCCCTTACAGCAGATGTCTGATCTTGCATGGTGCTTCAAGCCCAGCTCCCTGCTTGCAGCTGCTGACAACTGGTGCTACTTTGGGTACTCAAGTATTTGAAGCCAACTTCTCTAATACAGACTTTTGCAATCCCACACAAGTTTTTCCTCTAGGCCTTTCTCCTCTTGCTGCCCTCACCACAACAGAACAGAAGAAAGAGGAAGAAGCTGGTGCAATACCACGTAGAGGCCTCTGCTGACGGACACAGCTGCACTGCTTTGCAGAACCAAAGCAACTACATGTTGGAGTTAGGATTCCTCTTCAGGTTGCTGGGCATGGTGACATAAACCTTTAATCCCAGCACTCAGGAGACAGAGGCAGATCTCTGTGAGCAGCCTGGCCTACATAGTAAGTTACAAGCCAACCACAGCTACATAGAGACACTGTCTCATAAAAATAAATAAATAAATAAATGAGCCACCGCCACCACCACAACAACAAATGGAGTTTTAGATGATGTGTAAGAGGTAGAAAAAGAGTAGAAATATTTATTACTTTAGGAAATGTTAAATGGTTGGATGGGCAGTGGTGGCACACGCCTTTAATCCCAGGGCTTGGGGGGGGGGGCAGAGGAAAAAGAATGAAACTCTAAATTCAAGGCCAGCCTGGTCTACAGAGAGTTCCAGGACAGCCAGGGCTACACAGAGAAACCCTGTCTCAAAAAACCAAAAGAAGAAGAAAGGCCTTTAGTTGTACGCCTGTTATGACCAGTGCACACAATTCTGCCTGACTTCAGACATACAGGATACTGGGATAGCACAGTTCAGAGAAGACAGCATCATCTGAACCATTTAACTTTATAACAATTCAGCACCACTGTGGCACCAAGTGACACGGAGACCACCCCCCCACACAACAATCACAAGAGAAACTCAGGATTCCTGAGATGAGCCAGAGGCTACAGGCCCCCTCCCTAACCAGCCTGTAAGATCCGACTCTCAATGTGGACCCACCTTTCTTCCCATCCCTGCGTTTTCACAACCTTCAGTGACTCTTGCAGGACCAGCCTCATGAGCTTGGACACAAAAGAAACTCATGTTAGTGAGAGGTCACTCAGCTTCCCCATGTCCCAGAAGCCTCCCATCCCAAAATGCACGCCTGGGTGGAATGCCTTGGACAGGACTGACACTGGTTGTCCTGACACTACACCCTCAGGACAAGGAGATCAAAGCTCTGCACACTTGGCCTTGTGAGCATCAGGAAGCCAGGCCCACCTGAGTGAGTGAGAACTACAAACTATAGCTGACCAGAACAGTCAGGGCAGGCGGTGGGCTCTTCCTAAGGCAGGCAGAAAACTATGAAACCAAGTCTGAAGCTGGACCTAACTCCCCAAACCTTCCTTTCCCCAAAGAGAACAGGACACAGACAAAACCCTGCTCTGAACCACTGCAACATTAGTCAAGGCTCAGCATTGTTCCCATGATGCCCCTTGACATGGCTTGATGTTTTCTGCAGTTTTCCTGCCTTTAGATCTTAACATATGTCCACTGTGGATCCAGGTCACAGTAAAGACAACCAACCACACATGGGACCTAAGAGCCTTGGTGCACAGAGCACAGCAAAGGTCTGATGTCACACCTGGGGATACTGAAGGCCTGACTCTTGTGCCTGCCCACACTAACTGTGAGAAAGTCAACCACGCTGCATGTCTCGGTCATGCATGGAGACTGGAAAGATGGCTAAGTGGTTGAGAGCACTTGCTACTCTTACAGAGGCCCCTGATTCAACTCTAAGTACCTACATGGTGGTTCACAACTATCCATAGTCCCAGAGGATCTGACGTCTTCTTCTGACCTTTGAAGGCATCAGGCATGCATGCCGTGCACATATACACAGGCCAAACCCACACACGCACACACAAAAAAAAATATACTTAAAAATACAGCTCATCTTCCTTCTGTTTCTATGGACAGGCTCCAGCACTACAGGGAAGGACATCTGATTAGTGACAAGTCTGTGGTTCTACCAGAGCATGGTTCAGCATGGAACAAGGCATGCCCACCAAACTCGGTTTTATATTCCTATGCAACTCCTTGGCAGAGAGGAGCATGACACGGAAGAAGGAAAATAGGAACCATGCCCTGAGCCAGAAGAGGATCTTCACAGCCAGGGGACTCTGTCCCCTTCCTGCCATCTGCTGGGGCCAGGGTTTACTGGCAGTCACAATGGCTGACTCCTTTAGGAGGCCTGAGGCGAGCCTCCTTCTTTGAACTCCTATTGGCCCTGAAGATGGGAAGGCTTCAAGCTACAGTAACATTGCCAAGAACATTCCAAACCAGCTCTTGCTGGCTCCTCCTCCAGGACGCAGGGTCCCTGGCTCTGTGTCTCACCATGTAGAACTTGTCCAGGCGAAGTAGGTCGATGCCCACCCACTCCCGGATCATGGTCTGCCAGAATGCCCGCAGGAACAGGTACTCTAGAGAGAGAGAGAGCATACATATCAACACCAGAGCCGAGGGGAGGGGCAGCACGCCCGCAGAAGTCTCTCGTGGGCAGCAGCCCTGCAATGCCCTGCAACTCCCTGCCTGTGCATTCATTCACAGGACTCAGAACAAAGAGTTTCCAGGCTCCACAGAGAAAACACAAAACACAGTTCACATCAAGCTGTCACTCTGTTGTCTAAACAAATGCACAAAGGGAAGCAAGGTACAGGGAAAGGCAGTGAATACTGGGATCACATCCTCCCCAGGCCTCTCTGCCCCTGCCTTGGCTTGGACTGAGGACCTCCTGACACCCAAGCTGGACTTGAGCAAGGAGTCACCAAAGTAAAACTATAGGCAGAGGCCTGGCGCTTGCCCAACTATATCCATCAGTCCTGAAGGTAACAGATGAGACAAGTACAAGATGAAGAGCTGTGCCCCCAAAATCTTAGGGTAAGCTCTAAGCACTGGGCACATTAAAACGTAGCCAGAGTAAACAGAGGGGCTGTGCTGGTGTGCGTTGGTAGCTCTGCACCTCAGCGACTCTGGTGTGACAGGAATAGGACTGGCTTTGGTATTGTACTCACGTGTCTCTGTAGTCTGAAAGGCATGGATCAGCTGGGAAATGGTCCTTCCTAGTTCTTCCTGTGAGGAAAACAGAAAGCACACCCTCAGGCCCTGAAGCACGCTGCTCTGATGCAAACACTACCAATGCCCACTCACACCTCACAAAGAACAAGCTGCCAGCTGGCTTCTATCCAGGGGCCTCCAAATTTTGCATGTCTCCTTGCTGTGAAAGGCCTACTCTTTATAGGGAAGCCATCAGACTCTCCCTATAAAACGCAGGAGTCAGTGCTGGCCTCACTAAGGCAGTGACAGCCCCAGACATCATGGCAAGACAGAAAGGAGCCTTGAGACACAGCTGTATTTCTAGCAGGAAATGGGGCCAAGCAGACACATGAATCACTCACTATCTTTCTGTCTCTCACTGCTGAGCACTACCCAGTACACTGGCTAAGATTTCAGAACCTCCCCGCTAAGAGATGGTTGTTCTAGCAGGCACAAAATATGGGTCAGGAAAGGCCCCTCCAATTGTGTAAACAATTCACAAGCTGAGAGCAGCTGTTCTAAAAGGCCTGCAGGTAAAATGCTCTTACAGGAGACCTGGATTCTGCCCTTACTTTTCACCATGTCAGTACTGCGTTTCCAACAACTTCAGCCTGCCCTGGCCTACCCTGTTTGCTACCATGTCACTAAGATGCTCTGGTCAGCCAACCATTCCTGTCCTTCCTAAGTGCTTGGACCTTCCTACCAAAGGCCCCATCCTGCCAGCCACACAGAACAAAGGACATAGCTGGGTCAATCTATCCAAGTCTCTGGCCATGTTAAAGGAGGATACACATGTGTCTGTCCATCAGTCCACCATCCATTCCTGTCCAGTTTCTAAGCTACCTTCCCATGCACTCACCTGCTGCAGAGGCTTGTCCTGCATCCACATGCAGTAAAACAGTCCTTTCCATATCTTCAGCAGCTCATCTGGGGTAAAACCACCTAAATCACAAGGGCAACAGTCAGTGCACTCAGTGGACCCTGGAACCTGCCTTGCAGAGCTGGAAGGAAGTATGACTGCCCGAATGACTCCAGAATCATATATTGTACAGGAATGGGCCCTCCCGAAAACATTCTGCAACAGAACTGCCATACCTGTGACTAGAGAAGCTTCCCCAGTTAGCTTCATGCACCAGCTAAATGACGGGTATCAGTCCCACAGGGTTAAAACTAGAACCTCAACACATTCCCATAGTTAATGCAGTGATAATTAAGCCACCTGGATTCTGCCCTTACTTTCCATCGTGAGTTGTTCTATCACACCTCAGAGATTAAACGGTTAAAGTTACTCATTCAGGCTAGCAAAGGGCACAACCTCACTCAGTGAGGCTCATCCCACAAGTTGCGGTTCTCTGGTTGCAGCATGGGAAACTGCCGTGTGGCGCTTCCTAAAACATAGGGCCGTGACCTCAGCCAAAACACTGGTCAGGTACTCTACAATTTGCATCTGTGAAAGGATGTCCAAGAGAAGCTGAAGTTGCTAGCAGGAAGTTACTGTTCGGTGACCAGAAGCATAGAAACTATTCTACAAAAGGATATTGTAGGAAGCCCAGGACACTCCGTTAAGCACACAGAACGCTGGTAATGGCCAAACAGCACGAGCGAACTACGTAGGAAAAAAAAGCGTGCACGGCCTGAGCCAGGAGAACCCAGCCCGTGGGGCCCACGCGGCGGAGGTTCCGAGCCTGCCCGCCCGCATACCTGCGGCCCGCTGCGTCCTGGCCATGATGTACTTCCGCAGCTTCCGCACCGCGCGGTCCCGCGTCACTTGCTCATTGCCCGCCAGGCGCTGCGCCAGCTGTATCTCTGGCGGGAGCGGCACTCCCGGAGCCATGATGAGATCCTTGAGACCACGCACTCAGCGCTTCCGCCGCGGCGCTCGAGTGACGATAATCGTTGCATCACACTTACGCGACAGAGCTGTGACGCCACACTGCCGCGACATGGCACTGCTAAACGTCAAACTTCCCGGACGATGCCGACGCACGCTGCTGCCCCTCGGTGGACGGAAGGCGCAACTGCAGCCTGCTGGCGAGATGGAAGCCTGGTGTCTGGCTGGGGCAGCTCTGATTCTTGGAAGGGTTAGTGCGTTGTCTTGGGCTCGCCCTCCTCTTTACTGAAAAACGTGCATAGTGCTCAGAAGGAGCAGCTCCATTACAAGAAAGTCTTGATTTGGCCCTGCCTGCCCTTAACTGAAACGCCCATCCCTGGAGAGCTGCGTGAAGCTGTCCCTTGCTCAGCATCCTGTTCCTAAACTGCAGAGAACTGTGGCCTTTACCCAAAAGGCCTTTTCCAGAGCCTAAATACATCCGGATCCCCAGGGAAGTCCACCCCTCCAAGCCTCTTGAAGAGCATGCTCTTTCCAAGGACAGAGAGAAAAGCAAGAAAGCTATCATGACCCAGGTTTGGGGCAAGGTGCAGAACACCTTGTGGGCAGGTGAATACATATACTAGAGAGGGCAGAGAGAGCGTGCAAAACTTGAGTGTGCAGCCAGGCTGTGGTGGCGTATGCCACCAGCACTTTGATCCCAGCACTTGGGAGGCAGAGGCAGAGGCTGGCAGAGCTCTATGAGTTCGAAATCAGCTTGGTCTACAAGAGCTAGTTCCAGGACAGCCTCCAAAGCCACAGAGAAACCCTGTCTTGGAAAACAAAAACAAAAAACCCTGAGTGTGCCCTGGTTCAGGAAGTGCATGAAGACAGTCATTTGGGACACAATTACAAAAGCTTCCACATATTCCAATGTCTGAAATGACAGATTAGAATACAGAATAATTGCAGATTTCTTTGGTGTGACCATGGTGTTTTCCCAAGACCACCACAAGTCTGAGGACTTGCTGGGAAGATTCACAAGACCAACATTCCCAGTTGGTTGCCATACCACAGACCAGCTAAGCATCAGAGTGACAGGCAAGGAAGGTGGCTTTATTTGGAAAAATTTAGATGCTGGAGAAGATGGAGGGACTGTTGTCCAACATCTGAAGAGGAAATGGAGCAACAGGAGGAGGAGAGGGCATATCTAAGCACTATGACAGGAACATAGACACGTCTGTACTTTCCACAGCGTCACAATTTACTGAATTGAAAAACCACACCAGTGTCATTGGCAGCAATTTCCCCAAGTCGTCCCAGCAATCTTAAACCCCTAATATTAACTGTCAGATCATGCATTACATATCACCCAGTAAATATATCTACCCATATACATACCCATATGCCAAGTCCTGCTTGACTTGGGTCCCGAAACCTGACTAGGGGTGGTGAGGAAATAAAGAAAGGATGGACACACAGACACATGTACAGAGAAGTGGAATCAGAAGAGGTGTGTGCACTCTGATAGAGATAACTACTACCATTGCAACCTGGAACCTCAGCTCATTTATTGTATACAACACAGGGAGAGGAAGTAGCTAGTCTCCGTAGGAGTCTCTGTAGATAATCAGTATCAGGCTGTAAACATCTGAGACAGAGAAGCTGTAGTGTGCTAGCTTTTGTACATGCCAGTCAGTCATTCTCACATGGACCCCCAAGGAAAGTTTTGCCTTCTAGAAGAAACTCACCTCGGGAAAGCGTTGCCACTCCCAACAAGACCACAGCTCCTAATTGTGTCACTCTGTGGTGAGATATCCACCCCACCCACACCTGTTGCACTGACCACACCCATTGAGGCATGGGAACAGGTGGGGACTAGGCCTGGGGTCCCAAACCGAAAGCATCCAGAGGCATCCTTGGGATGGGAACATTCAGCGGTCATCTGCTTCTGGTGTAAGTGATTTCTCCCCAAATAAACATCCATCAGCCAGCCTATCATTTCCCAGATTCTGATTTACCACAATTTATCTTGCACGGACCATGTCCATTGGGGTGTGGGGACAGGTGCGGGCAGGGTGGGTATGTCACTACACCACTCCCTATGGGCCAAGCATTCAAACACATCTCTATGGGGGCCATACCTATCCAAACCACCACAACAAACCTGGTCCTTCCTGTCAAATCACAAGACGCTTTTTAAGTCTACAAATCTCAAGAATAAAGATGGTTATTAGTCATTAATTGCTTTTCAACCAAGCAAATCTCAAGAACAAAGATCAGCATTTACTCAGGTCAGGCTTGCCCAGAATCAGCTGCCCAAGTACAATCCCAAGTACAATGCTTGAATGGTCTACAGTGGCTAGGTAAGAGGGGGCAGCTGCTCCCAGGATTTGCTAGCCTCTAAACTTTAGGTAATAGAAGAAACTGTATTTGTCCAATTTCTGTAGATGCCAGGGCTGAGTGATGTCAAACCGGAAGTCAGCCAAGATCCTAGCTGACTACTCAGTTTCCATGTGGCCTACTACATGGGAGGGACCCAGAGAAAGATCTTATGAAGGAAAGGAGATGTGGGTCAGAGGGATAGCTTACCTGAGATCTCTAGAATGGATCCTCATAAGACAAGTTGAGACCAGAACTGCTGGAGAGGATGGCCTGGGTAGGGTGGGTTATGCAGCTAAGTTATCTGGGATCTAACATTTGCAGCCACATGTGTGTGAAATAGAGGGATGATTTTATAGGAAAGGGAGGTAGAGGAGGCTCAAGGGATGATGGATGCTGAATTCAGGGCTCTGGGTATAGTAGGATTAGGGTGGAGTCTCCATATTTCCTATTAGGTAACCAAGCAGAGTCTCCAAAGCAGAGGACAACATCTGGATTCATGCATGAAGACATAGTAAGAGATTGAAGAGTGAATTGTGTTAACAGGCAGACTGGAGGGTTACCTACAAATCAAACACTTGTTTAAGCCAGTCATGCCTGCACATGCCTTTAGTCCCACCCAGTGGAGGCAGATGGATCCCTGTGAATTCCAGGCCTGCCTGATCTGCATAGAGAGTTCCAGGCCAACCAGAGTTATGAACTGAGACCTTGTCTCAACAAGCAAAACAAACCCTCACTTATTGAAGGAATAATCACAAGCATAGGTCAGGAAGTGTAGGAAGGTATAACCAGACTTTTCTCTCCTGCCCACCTGTTCCCAAATAACCACTCAGAGGCTTCATATCAATTATAATTATTTGGCCAATGGCTCAGGCATATTACTGGCTAGCTCTCACAATTAAATTAACCCATTCCTACTAATCTGTGTATCACCTCATGGCCATGGCTTGCTGGTAATGTGGTAATGTTCTAACATCTTACTCCTGTGGAGCTACATGGCATTCCTGACTCTGTATTCTTTTTCTTTGTATCTCTGTTTGGATTTCCCACCTGGCTCTATTCTGCCTGGTAATTGGCCAAATCTGTTTCTTTATTAACTAGTGGTAATAAAACATATTCACAGTATACAGAGAGGATCCCACATCAGGAAGGCTCCACAAAATTTCTGATAAGAAAATTTTGAATGAAATTTGTTAAGAAAAGAGTTGAGGACACTAGAAGGCACTCTGAAAGCTCTTGGGTTTTGTTGTTGTTGTTGTTTGTTGTTTGTTTGTTTTTTAATATTTAAGATAAGTTAGGGGAAGTTGTGAGGGCTTCAGAGAAAAGTTGGGTTTGTATAAATGTCCTGATTGTTAACTTTGTGTTTTCAAATACCAAAAGAGGGGACCAGACCTCATTACAGATGGTTGTGAGCCACTATGTAGTTGCTGGGAATTTAACTCAGGACCTCTAGAAGAGCCACCAGTGCTCTTAACCTCTGAGCCACCTCTCTTGCCCCAACAGACAACTTTTGTTAAGTAGTTTTGGAGCTCCAACAAGAATGCCAAGTCACATGCAGAGGTAGACCACATATTGGCTATCACATAGGGAAAAAGAGCCCAAGAGAGCTTCTGGCTTTGGAGCTGTGGCAGTCTAATGCTCCCCCTCCCAGGTGTCACTTGTTGGAATTAGGACACACAGGTGTGGCTTGCTTTTGTCTTTATGGGTTCTGCCTTCTTTGCTGACAGTTCCTCTGCAGCCACATGTCACATTCTGTATGTGGAAATATCACCTCATGTCCCATGTGGCTAGGCGCTCATGCCTAGGCCTGATGAAGATAAGGCTAAATAGTCATGATCACGGGTCTTCAGGAGAGATGGAAGCCATTATGAAAGACACTAAGGAAGAGATTCCTGGACCATGACACCCACCATCCCTGACCCCTCCACCTCCCTTCTCTATGAAATCATTCCCTTGTTTTGTTTATTATGCAAATGAAAGGCCTGGAAAAGTTAAAGGCCATGTCTAGCTGCCTCCCCTGCACACTGCTCTTCACCTCCTATGGAGGCAGGCTGCAGGGACTTGTAGATAAGTGTCCTTCCTTACCTCGGCAACTCTGAGCAGACAATTCTACTGCCTAACCCAAAGCTGGCTTTCAGTTATGGCCAGGCTCCTCACCTGATGGGGAAGTAATAAGAGATTTCTCTAAGGTGTTTTCTCTCTCTATCCCTGCCTCTCCTTCAGACCTCCTCACACTGTCTAATGTAGGCGCCTTACTCCTCTCTCCCTCTTCCCTTCTCTCCTCTCCCCTCCCCTCCCTTCTCTTCTCCTTTTTCCTTCCCCCAAAGTTTCATGCAGCCCCGGCTGGCTGCAGGTTCACTTGCCTCTGCCTCCCCAGGGCTAGGATGAAAGGTGTGTGCCACCATGTGGCCTGCTCTTACTGTAAGCAAGAGGTGGTCCCTGTCTAAAAGCAGATTCACATTTTGGTGACAGGGCCTGTGAATAAAATGGCAAACCCATGTGCCAGAGCAGACATGTTACAACTGTGAAAAACAAGGAAAAAGACTACGTCTGGGCAAGAATTTTAGCAGGACTCTCTGACATGAAAGTTCATTAACACAGCAACACAATACATAGAAAATGTACCTTAGAACAGACAGGGCTGCA